GGGGGGTTGGTGATTATGACGAACAAGGAGCGCAGAGTGAGAGCACACAGAGGCCCATCATGCCGGGTCTCTATTGGGGTATATCAGTACACAGAAGTGGGGCAAAATAGCAGCATGGTAAAGAAAGGAAGACTGCAGGTTCATGGAATGTAAATATGGTGCAGGAAAGAGGGTCCAGCGGTACCATTCCAGAATACAAGGAGAGACGTAGAGCAGGATCACGGGACAGCACTGTGGCACAGCAAGGGATCAGTCCAGAGTCCCAGCACAGCAATCTGGGCACAGCAAGGTACAAGAGGCAGGATCACAGGGGAGCAACATGCCACAGCAAAGAGTCATGGGGCAGCAAGGGATTGACAGCAATATGGTGTCACAATGATTATGTCCAGGTCACAGGGGGGCATTCCAGGCACAGCAGGGGACGAGCAGCAAAATTACGCAACAACAGTCACAAGGCAGCAATCCAGGGCACAGCAGGGGATAATTAGCAGGAATACAAGGCAGCAATATAAACATTCAAAGCTCCAAGTCCAGTCACAGGGCAGCAATCCAGGGCACTGCAAGGAAGAAGCAGCAAGAGTATGGGGCAGCAATAAAGAAGATCCAGCCCATTGGCTGTGATGGTTTGGCACTGGGGTCCATGCTGGATGGTGGGCAAAGCAAGGGGCCGGCACTTTCAGATGGGGAAGGCTGGATCCTGGGAATCCTGGCAGCAGCTTCCAGTGCTTCAGGCAGCATACAGTGAAGGGTGAAGAGAGCAGGGTGGCACACTGAGCAGGCTCCTGGGTCTCTTCAATGCAAGCTGTGTTGTGGGAACAGGGGGCCCTTGGGCAGAGGGGAAAGATCTGTAGCCTCGGCCACAGCTCCATGTTCCCAAAGGTACATGTAGCAAGGGGCTAACAAGAGAAGGTTTCCCTTCCACTGGTCCTTAAGTATGGGAGCGATCCCACGGCCAGGCATGCCAATATTTAGCATCAAGCTGCCTCCACTCAGTTCTACCCCAGAGGCAAGTCTTTTATCTTGGGTGAGCACTGTCACAATGCAGAAAGCAGAGGGCGCCGTGCCTGCCCGGACACCGTGGCACTGGGTGGAAGAAATTTGCAGCCTGCATGTGATCACTTCACTAGCAATCCACAGCAGGGGGTCAGATTGGTCAGTGCCCCACATGTAGGTGGTGTGGTGGGATCTACAAATGGGGTGCCAGGAAAGAGGATGGTGCCTGGCTTGGGAATTAAGCGTAGGGAATATAGGGCACTGTGAGCTGGGTCATAGGGAAGAGGGTGCCCAAGACAGTGATCAGGACAATAAGAGAGAGGTAATCTCCCTAACAGGGACACAACAAGAAATACCTGATGGGGGTTCTAGCCCCTCACCACTCCAGTGGCATCACAAAGGGGGATGGGGGGGGTGTGGCCTGCACCAGATGACACCATTGTAGGGGGTGACACCAAAATAATCAGTGAAAAGTCGAGCACTTGGTCATGGACCGAGAGCCCGACAGTTGCAGGAGAGAAGAGGGGACCCGGCGCAATATTTTATCCCCTTCTCTCTTTGCTGGCATCCATCACCAAGATGGCCACCGGCAGGTAAGCACGTGTGACGTCAATACGCTATGATGTCCCAGCCGGGTGCCACCAGGCAACCGATACAGGTGACACCATGCCTGGGGACGCCCCTGCTCCACTCTATCAAAATTTTATTTCCCCTTTAGGCTCCATTCACACCTAAGTATTAGCGCTTTCAACGTTCAAACCTTAGCGTTGCATGAACACAACGCGTTCAAAATGTGCAACACGCAACTGTGCCATTACTTGTTACTGGCACCCCAAATGTGGACGGAAAAACTTGATTTTTTTTCCGGTCTGTGTACACGTGACATTCGTGCACACATGGGAACAAAATGCAAAATGCTCACAGTGGAAAATGCATGAGCTACTTTTTTGCAACTGGCACGTGTGCAAGAGCCCATTCAATGAAGAGGAAGCAAAGCCGCACACGAACCCACGTTCACATGCATTGCTAGGTGTTAACAGACCCTAAGTGTTTTTCAGTGCTTTTACGCATGTCAATGTGCATTTTCCATGCATTTTTACAAGTGTTTTGCACGTGTGCTCTCCTCCATTTTGTTCCCCAATGTTTTTTTTGCAGAGAAAGGCTGGCTCTCAGAGAAAGGCTAGCTCTTGCACAACAAATGCACCACAAAACGATGAAAAAAATGTGCAAAATCACTTGTATCGCATGTTGCCAGGTGTTTCCATGGAAGGCTATGGGGCCAAAAGTGAAGAAATCTGCAGAAAAGTATCTCAAGTACTTTTTCAATCTGCAGGCGCTTTGCTACAGGAGACGTCCCGTGGCTCACGTGTGAACAGGGGCCATAGAAAACAATGGCACTCCTCGTGTTCAGCATTTTGTAGCTCCGAGCTTTGAGCTACAGAACCCCTAGGAGTGAACGGGGACTTACACTGACTTCAAAATATTACTGATTGCAAATATGTGCCATTATTATATAATGATGGAGTCTGTATAAAAGGGGGTCCTGTGTGCATATAATACAGGCCTAGCTTAGAGTACCTGTCCGATTTTGTTTGCTTACTCCTCTGCTCCCCACAGCGGCTGATGGTGCAGTGAGGCCGTCCAAGGCTGGAGGGAAGTAGTTCTCTCCTGAATAGACGGAATAACACAAAGCTGCTTTGGTTTCTTCAAAACACTCTAAAGCTGGCCATACACCTATAGATTATCTGCAGAGTTTCTCTGGTCAGAGGGAAAAAGTGCCACAGATTCCTCCATCTACGCTAAACTGTGTGGATGGAGGAATCTCCCACTGGGCCAAGCTTCAGTATCTTGCTTGTCGGCCCCGCTGGCTCTCAAAATACCTGAACAATCTGATTGGATGCCGGCATTGTTCAGGTGTTTTGAGAGGGTGAATCTCCCTAACAGGCATACAGACAGCAATAAAAACTTAGCAGGGGGTTTAATGCCTCTCCTCTCTGTCCAAAAAAGGTTTTTATCTTCTACTTGTACTATTATTATTATTCTGTGCGCCCTAAGCTGCTTAAAGGTGATTGGTTGGTATGCATTCTGGCAGAGCATGGCTCCTTTGCTTCATTGCCAAATAATCAGGGCCGGATTCCCCACAAGGCCACCAAGGCCCGGCCGGCAGGGAGCAGAGGGGCGGCAGCGGTGTGGAATCCTTTGATGCCCGGGACATGCAGTTCCGGGCGCCGGGCGGTAAGTTGTTTTCTACATTAAGCAACTATGTGAATGGATGAGGATCGCTTTGGAAAGAGATTGTTTTACTTCCTGCTGTGTTCCCTGTGAAGGGAAAACTCTATGAAGACAGGGGTCATAAACCTTTACTACTCTATCCTAAATTAAAGAAAGAAAAAAAAACTAAACATAAGAACCTTGGCTTTACATACATATAAAGGGATATATTTATAAAGCAGTGACTCTGATATGCACCAAACATTCACTGCAGGTGAACCTTATTGGTAAATACGTTTTAAATTATATTAATTAACTCACCACCAGTAAATGTTTAGTGAATGTCACATTCGTTG